GGTGATCAACATAAATAAACTCCTGATCTTTCTTTTGCGTGACGAGTGCTGATGATATCATCCTCTCTATCTCCGTTTTTTGGTTCTGGAGTTGTTGATTAAGGCTTTGTTGATAGCTTGAGATCTAGCTAATCCGAAGAATGAACGTCTAGTAGTAGTATCTAGGTTCACCACCTTCCTTTCCTCCCCTTTGTAACTATGAGACTTGGAGTCGCTGATGATATGAAAGTTGTTGTCAATCTCTGGCGCTCTGAAGAACGTTCCCTAGAATGTAGAGGAAATTTCCTTGCATTAAATGCTGGCGTATGTTGACCTTGATGTCTAGTTGCATTCGGCGAATGCAAATCCTCGTCCACTATATGACATTTCTCAGGGTAGTTCGTGTTGTGGGTTGGCGAAGATATCAGTATGCCATCCACTATCCAAGACACAACTTCACAGTCAGGGTGGATACTTGAATCGTCTTGATCGTGGATGCTCGTATCTGATGCTGGTGCTTCCTCATGGATAGAATCGGCGACAGATACCATAGGAGATGACTGAGTAATTGACTGTTGATTCTCTGCTGAACGTTGATGCATAGCTAAGACTACTTGACATGTAATAGTAGCTACAAAATTCTGATCCACAGATAGATTCGTTGAATTTGAAGGGTTCCCGCAAGTCTGCCATGTATTTCGCTGATGATGACGTTGAGATGATGATCTCTGTTCTTGAGAGTTCGCGAACTCTTCCTTTTTTTCCGAACGTTAGTTCTCTTTGCGTCTGTAGAGCCATGGTAGACTGGTTTGCGGACCCTTTCGTAAAGTGTGTGGTCACAGCTGTGGAGCAAGTAGCCTCTGGCAAAGTGTGCTGATTGTCAGTAGAAGGGTTCTCGGACCCTGACGTTGAAGACGAAGATCTGTGGTGAGATGAATGTTTCCTCACAGATGACGATGTCTTAGATAAATGCTTCTGAAAACTAGGATTCGCGCATCCTACAGGGGTACTAGTAGACATATTCTGTGAAGACTTCAAGATGATCTGCGGTTCGAGAACCGGTGGTGATCTGTCGAGATATGATAAGACGTTCTCGAACGATGTAGGAGCATTCGACGATCTCTCTGATCTAGTAGAATGTGTAGATCTCGCAAATAACAATTTCTTGGACAGCCTAGACTCTCTCATTTTCTTCACCAAACGTTGTGGTTCCTTGTGAGGTGACTTCCTCTCAGAAGTAGATTGCGTAGCCCTCTCTGTAAGAGCGACAGAGACGGGAGTAACCCCTGGGAATTCTCCATAGTGATCTGTGATGTGTGCCTGAGAATCACCCCTCACAGCCGCTGCCTTGCTGATACGTTTTTGTTTATCTGAGACCTTGTGTAAATGTGCACACAAATATTTATTAAATAATTCTGTTGATAAATGTGCACAATATTCACAACGTGATACTAAGGAGCACGAATAAGGACAGCAAAAAGAGCAAACAGGGTGAGGATCAGCTGCAGACAGACCTGCACCCACCTGCAACGGAGTGTAAAACACGGAATTTAGTAGAAATTTACATAATATAATACATTGTGATGAATCTAAAGATATCTAAATGCAATTCACAGCCATAAATTAAGACTACAAGGCCAAAAAAACAAAGGATATACGCCGCAAAAAGGACCATATTCATATGACCATCCAACCATCTGTTAGCGCAATGAAGGAGAGTGACGAGAGCAAGACTCAGGTCACGTGGGACCAATTTGGCGGGAAAAGGGAGGCTACTCGGGATGAGTGATATTATGACCGCTTCAGGGATCTGAAAACCCAGCAGGCACAAAACGTTTATTAGAAGTCTAGATGAGGGTTAGATCTGGTTTAGATGTTTAACAATGTCTATTAGACGCTGATTCAACGTACCCATTTCGACGTCTAAGCCTATAGCTTGATTAAACGTTTAAATGATGTTTAACTTTCGACCTTCTAGAAACTACAGGAACTTTAATTAAGTGTGCAAAAGTTACCTTTTATCACAATTTGGTGTTGTGAAATTAATATATGCAAATTGATATGAGCCACAATAATTTTGGAATATGTATTTTTGGTTTTTCAAAAAAAAGCAAAACAGTAACTATACAGTTATTGTGATCCTGTACGTAAAAACAATTTAATAAATCTTAAAACGCTTTTAGGATACTATATGTGTGAATTGGAACCTAATCCCAGAAGTATCAGAAAAAAAACATGGCGTAGATCGATAGTCCTTACTGGAATTGCGCATTTAATTCAGGCACCATTTTATGACTTGGGCTATGACTTTTGTTCTCTGTTGTAAGTGATAAACAGTCTCACTCTCTGTCTCTGATTCGAGAATTTTTAAAGATCTTCACATTCATCCGGAATACACGGTAAGACATACATCACTATGTAGACAGAAATGTGGTATTCTGCAATGTCTGAAAATGAAATAAATCTGTGTGCTGACTTCGGGCAGACGGTATAATTTTGAACACGGTTTTCTATCCTGTTTTCCACATAAGACATTACACGCATTTCTATATATTTATATGTATAACATACTCGGTGAAACCACCAAACCCATGGCTGCCGAGTCTGCGAAAGGAGTTAACTTGTTTGATTCCCATGCACAGGTTAGGTATTGGTGTAGCCGAGAGCATGTTTCCATCTCATGATTCTAATTACAATGTAATATTGCTGAAATAAACCCATGTGATATGATATTTTACTTACTTGCTATTTAATTAATTTTTATTCCCAGAATCAATAACACAGTCCTACAAGGGAGTAACTGAGGACATGATCTACAAGGAGATGGGCAAATATCTCAAGAATGCCCCTGGAAGATGTGGTGGTGGTGGAAGGTCGAAAGAATGAGAATTATTCCATTTTTACAAATAATTGACCAGCTTTACAGAGGTCGCGAATATATGACACTTTTATGAATAACACCTTCTTTTGATTCTTTACACGACGTAACTGGCTTTGTAATTATATTATCATCTTTTACATTCTCCCTCATTGCATTGTGGACATGTTTTAATCTACACACACACACACACACACACATACATACTATTCTAAAAAAGAAACGCATAACCACAAATCTGTTGCGAAAATGTTTTACTTTCAAACATGTATAACTCGTCCACAAGTAGATTTTAGTACATGAATTTTTACATCAGTTTAGAAGAAGGCAATGTCTATACAAACAAGTGGACAATGTTAGATAACAGAGACGTTGAGCGTGATGGTGACGGCGTAGCACGGTCCAGACGTCGGGTCTCCTGGCTCTCAGTCCAATCTCTCTCAACCTGTTACATACTGTTAGACCGGATATCCTCAAAAGTCCAGGCACCCTGGCTGCTGTGCTCTCACCCGTGGCAGTACGATCACACAAATGTAGTACCTGGATGTATCGATCTTGGGCATTTGTTATACCTGTTTGGTTGTAACGAGCTGCAAGCAGTCATATCGTGCTCAGACTAACATTCAGACGCCTGGCAACAGAAAATTGGTTATCTCCACGTGCATTCTTTCAATAGCGATGTTCCGTGTTGCAGCGTCAAGACGTGGCATAGTGATTTGACCTTGAAACTCCTTCAAAACGAATGCCGATTTCCGAAAGTAATCTGTTTTTTTTTATAGCCAGACAGTGCATGCTCTTTGCTGCACAATTTCAACTGGAAGGTGATATCTGTTGCGCTGTTGTGATGCCTTTTTAATCCTTGTAAGAAATCTCATCTAAATCAACATTTTCAATTCTCGTGCAATAGTGTAAAATCATGTCATCAACGCTTTTGTTACATATTTTGTCGACTGTTTGAACACAGTTGTAATTAATAGATTTATAAAAATACAAAACGCCTATGCGTTTTGGGGGGGATAGTATATTATATATAATATATATATTATTGGTATATATATATATATTGTAAAAATGTCACAATTCAATATCCTCTTCAAGATTATATTTGTTAAATCTGAACTTCAACTGGAAAAGTATGTTTTACAACATAGGTCTTTTATAGGAGAAGTGTGTAAATTTCATATATCTATGCATAATTTTAATGTAAATGTTATATCTCCATCGAAAGATGTTTATCTCTTCCGTACTGTTTGTAGAACATGTAAACTGAGCAAACTGAAGATGAGATATCATTATTTGTTACAAAAGTGTGAAGTACAAATTTAATACTTATCTCCCATGCTTGTTATTAGATTATGAGAATATAAATATAAATATTGTTTACACACTTTATGCGATTGAAAAGTTTTGACACATGTGTATCCTGAATAAATTTCTTTTGAGTTTGAGTTTTAACTTAGAATCAAGGTGGAATGAAGATTATTATTATTGTAGGATATTTACATAGCACATCTACCCATGCAACTAGGACATGCTCAAGGCACTGGTATTTATTTTCCCTCGATCATTGGATGTGTATCTCGATGGCACATCGCATGTACAATCTCAACTACCTGGGGAGCATACAACTCTAGCAGCCACTAGGCGCACCGAGTTATTGCGGCTTTCCCATCCTTACGACATACATTCACAGCTGGGTGAACTAGGACACATAGTCACAGTACATTGTCCATGTTGTACCCGCAACTAGGTGTTTGCACTCATATATGTGCCCACTCTGGCCGTATACCAACGGATTCGTGGGTTCTTTTAAGTGCACAGGGTGTACTATACATTGCAGATGGTCTAGACTGCAGCATATTATGCAAACGATAGGCATGCTGCATCATCAAACCCATATGATATTAGACATCTTTTAAACATATTTTAAACGTTTAGATGAGGTCTACCTTTAGACGTTTAAACAATGTTTATGCTTCAACGTCTTCTAGACTTCCACTTTAAACTAAAATTAGACGTCATTTCAATGTTGAATGTAGACGTCATTTAAACGTCTATTAAACGTTCATGTGCCTGCTGGGAAGGATTCGAGTTTCCACTTAACCGTCGAAAGGAGAAAGGAGATGAGCAATAAGCATGAGTCAGGATAAGGAAAAATATAATTACAAACAAACAAGGATTAAACGACTACAGACTATGCATCAAGGTAACAACAAAATGAAATGAAAATCCTTACTCGATCTATACATGAACTCTTCTTTTCTCAATAATAATAATAATAATAATGGATTTCTATGGCGCCTGGTATCCAACTTAAAGCTGTTCAATGGCGCATCACAAAGCCTAACTAGAATAGGATTCCAGAGTAGAGATAGGTTTTTAGTTGTTTGCCGAAAAAGTCAATTGCTTCTGCACATCGTATTTTCAGTGGAACAGAGTTCCAGAGCAATGGGACAGAGACAGAAAATGCGTGGCTGGCTTGTTTTTCCTGGTTTTTGGGACGATGAGTTTGCCTTTGTTCTCCGACCGTAGACTCCGTGCAGGTGTGTAAGGGCTAATCAGGTCTTTTAGATATACGGGGGAATCTGGATCATTCACGGTTCCATATGTCAGAACCAGTGTCTTAAACTTTATCCTTTGTTCGACAGGTAGCCACTGAAGTTGATTGAGGACAGGTGTGATGTGGTGCTTTGGTTTGGTCCTGGAGATCACTCTTGCCGATCTACTTTGCACTTTCTGCAGACGTTGGACATTCCCGGCTCCATACAGTAGCGAGTTGCAGTAGTCCAGCCTTGATGTTACGTAGCAGTGGACTAGTAGTTTTGTCGCATCGGTGTCAAGGTAGAGTCGGATCTTCCCGATGTTCCTCAGAGGGATGTTTGCTGTCCCGTATGTGTTCAGAGCTTGCTGGTCTGGTGACATAGTCTCAGTAAACACGACTCCGAGATTCTTCACCTTTTGGTAGGGTGTATGTTCGAGTCACTAATAATGTATGGAGATGTTGTCACCTTGTTTAATTGCACCCGTGTGCCAATAACCATATACTCCATCTTGTCGTCATTCAATCTAAAAAAGTTCGCAGCCATCCATTTGCGAATATCTGAAAGGTATGTTGTGATCTGATTCTGGCAAACTGGGATAGAGGTAGGTACAACACTGATGTACAGCTGACTCTTATCAGCATACCCGGCATGCCCTTGTTTGAAACACAAATTTACATCTTCATTTATGCACCACTTCTAAATTATGTTCAGGAAATTGCTTTTGTTAGTAATCGAAATGAATTTGTCACTATTCACCAGTAATTTCAAAAATGTTCTTTTGGATCATTATTTGTTTTTTGGTCACAGTTACTTCTCCAATATTTCTCAATAATACATCGTTTTTAAAAACAAATATACTACAGAGAAAAGCCATCAATACACAGCAAAAAAGTCAGGAAAATTGTAACCACAGCTTGCTTTGCATACTAAAAAAACCCAAAACCTGTGATATCTTTACAAATGCAAATAGATCCTCAACATTTGAACACCTCAAACCATGAATGAAATAATCACATCTGATAATGTGTATTAAAGTCATTTCAATTCACATTCACTGAATAGTTTCAAAATATATCTGATGTCTGTGTAGACCTATGTCTACCACAAAAGCAACAACACAAGATAAAACAAGAAGACAAAGTCATCAATATCCCCCGCAATGGCAAAATACTCTTCATGATTATGTCTATGAGTTATGATAATGTCAAATATTTAGGTCTGTATATAGAAAAGTGGAAGGAGAGTATGGAAAGGTTTTTAAAGTTCTGCTCCAGAACACTATCACCAATTTCAGTCTAAGTCAAACTTGTTGCCATGGAAATGCCAAAAATATTTTATTCAGAAATCCAAAACTACCAAAAGGCACCAGTACACCACCAGATTTATGTATGCGCCAAGTTTGGTGAAGAAACATTGAACGGTTTTAGAGTTCTGCTCTGGAAAAGAGCACTACCACCAATTTCAGGCTAAGTCAAACTTGTTGCCATGGAAACACCAAAAATATTTTATTCAGAATTCCAAAACTACCAAAAGGCACCAGTACACTACCAGATCAATCTATGTGCCAAGTTTGGTGAAGAAATAGTGAACGGTTTTGGAGTTCTGCTCCGGAAAAGACAAATGTGCACGGAAGGACGGAGGGACGCACGGACGGACGGAGTCCATTTTAATAACAATTCTGCTACCTGGTGAACAAAAAGAATCACAACTGCATATTCACTTCAGCCTGGAGGAGGGTTCAGTTGTCCTCAGCAGGAATAACTAGGCCCCGATCGATTCATTCACAGAATCAACTTCTTACTGTATGCCAAATGTCTCAATATCTGGGAATCTTATCAATAACGTATTGTCGGGTATCGTTGTTCCTGGAACTGTTGGAGCTGTTGTAGTCTTTGGTGTCTTGGTGGAACATATGGAAACTCATATTGTCCCCTGCCTCGACCCTGACCAGCAGAACCTCTTCCACGACCTCCTCCATACCCTCTGCCGAAACCGCCTGCCCTATGTTGATGATTACCTCTTCCATAGTATTCATGTGGCCCTCTGTTCCCCCGACCACCTCTATCATAGACTCCTCGACCTCCCCTGTGTCCTTGTTGTCCTCGGTTGTTTTCATTATGACCATCATGATATCTCCCATGCTTTCCATGACCACTATCTCTTCCATACTGTTGTGAGACTCCCCCTCGGCCATATCCTGCTCCTCTGTTGCCATCATCTGGGACTATGGGATTGTCATGACCTTGGTGTACACCATCTCTATTCTGTCTCTGTTGTCCTTGTTCAGCATCAGCTGGTGCTACTCTAGGATTGTCCTCATAAGCAACTTCCAATAGTTCGTCCTTGACATGTTCTGCTCCCACATGTTGTCTTGTTATGTCTGGGATGGAACTGCTGTCTCCTGATGCTGGCTGTGGCTGTTCGTCTACTTGAATCTAAAATTGAAACATGAATTTTTTAAGTAGTGCACTAACATCTTAACCACTAGGCTACCCCAATGCCCCATTTAATATTCTGATAATTAAGGAACTGAAAAGGATATGCTAACGCTTAACGTAAAATCATCAATGAACTATAATTCCAGCTTAAATTCACAAGATTTATATACCCTAGATGGGAATCAGAAGTGCATGATATCTCACCAATGATTGTTTTTTCATCATTTCTGCATCTTCAGAGACACCTTTGTAGTACATACATAATCTATTAACCTTGTGGCTCAGCTCATATACCAGGTCCCACTTGAATTCATTAAAAATACCTTGATATAGCACTTGCACATGATGCATTATGAACTCCAAGCGTGCAAGATGAACAGCTGCCATATTCATGCATATTTCACCTTTTCGCATTTTTTCCACGAATGTCTGAATTTGAGACATTTTGGATACAAAGTATTCTTTGTACAGCTTTTTAAAAACATTGAAATTCATCATATTCATCATGTGAATCGGTGATGACAAATGTTCCTCCCTCAGCTTCTGTGATGTCTTCTGCTGGTTCATGAAATTCTCGAAAACTATATGCTGAGTGCCTCTTTCAATTTGTGTCATTTCCACTGTTGTTCCCGTCTGGTCCATATCAGATTCAAATGATGGTTTGTCAGTTTCTTCTGCTTTGAAAGACACCCTACAAACTCCACACTGATCCTCTGTAATGTCATAGAATGAGAATATTTCCTTAAGTTTTTGTTGTTGACATCTTTCTCTGATATTTCCTCCTTCAATTCTCCCAGTGAAGCTTAACCTCCTGAAGAAGCGCTGAAGGACCCTTGCTGATCTGTCTTCTTGTTCTTCCCGAACATACTTATCAAATTCATCCTTCTCTCTTTGAGTTTCTTCTGCACTGATACTAATTCCTTTCAATATTTGCTGTTCACATCTCTGCTTCAGATTCCCCAGTTCTATGTGTCGCCTGAGAGTCAGGTTCCTGATGAAGCGCTGAAGCACTCTAGCTGCATTGTTTTCTTTCTCATGTTGCGCATGAGGCAAGGTGTGTACAAAGTTTACAAATGCTGATGGGAACATACCAAGAGACTTCAACTGCTGGTGCTGGATACCTTCTTTTCTCTGTGGATTCCACTTCCACTCACAAAGAAGCAGATTTTCATCTTCCCTTTCTTTCAGCATCCTCTGAAGAACATCCACAAGGTCAGCTATTCCATGAGATTTCTTTATGGATTGAAGACCATTCTTAAGTCTTGTTGGAGCATCTTCTGGGAGTTCCAGTCTCATTAGAGCTTCCATCAGTGGCACCTCAACTGGTGGATCCAGCAAAAGTCCCACATTAGCAAGAACTACCAGAGCCAGGATGAGGCACCGCTCTGCTTGTAGGTAATCAAAATCTCTCCTGGGGCGAAATAAGCATGAAAGCAGATTCATTCTCATCTCACTCCCACACAAGACACCAGCCAAACGTTGAATGTGAACTTGAAAGGTTTTGATGCTTTCTTTGCCTCTACTGATGGAATTGATTGACCACTGAATTGAACTAGATCCTTGCGGCAACATGGCACTGACGTATGGCAGGGTTGCAAGATAGGTTGCCGGTAAAACAAATCTCCCTGTTTCAGATGAAAGTTTTGCAAATGATGTAAGTGCAATAGTTATAAAGACCTCATGGCAAAACAGGAAAAGAGGCATTTTGGGGAACACCATTGGTATGTTACGATCTCCAAGGATTTTGACAAATTTTGAATATGCAAACACAGATGATATAGGATCATCTTTCAATGCACCAAAGGCTTCATAGAACTGACCTCCAAGGTGAATAATCAAATTGTCTCTTTCAAATGAAATAAAAGCATTCCTTGCCTCTTCATCAAGCGGATCTGAACCTTGTAGTTGTCTTTTTATGTTAAAGCCTATCTTTTTCAAGTCAATGTGTTGGATCTTAAATAGGGAAACCAGAACTGTTGCTCTTACAAACCAATCTGAACTCTTGCATTGTACTTGTAACGGGCTGCAACACCAGCAATTCACCATTTCCTGAATAAAACTTTTCAAGTTCACACTGTCCAAAGTGTCTCTGAATTTTCTCATGACTACTTCATTTTCTGTCAAATTTCTCAAGTGATGGCCTTCCGGAATGATGAAATGCTTCATTAACTTTTCGAATGCTGTAGATGTTGCAGTATCATCTGTCAGTGCAGTGAGTTCATCATTAAGGTTCTTCTTTTGGGATTGGACATTCATAACTACATCCCAGAGGGATTTCACTCCACGATGTAAGACATCTTCTAATTTGACCTTCAACAACAGTGCCTTTAAACCTTTGAGAGCAGTTTCTCTGGTGAAGGGCTCATGCAGATGATGACACTTATTGTTGTCACAAGAACTGCTTCCTACACATCTTCCTTCCTGAAATGACCTGCACTGTATGTTCCTGGACACATGACTGTCAAGCCAGTTTCTGCAGATCTTAATCCATTCTTTCAGAACACCAACAAGGTATATTGAAAGCTTAAATGAAATGTCTTGCTTATCAAAGTGTACAGTTCTTTTGTCCTTCCATCTGAAGGTTTCTGACAAGACATCAGCACATAGGTTCTTTTGTCTACGATAAGCAATTAGTTGACTTGGATCCTTGTCATCTTGGTGAAGGCCATAGAGCTTCAAGTAGAGTGTGCATCTGCTATGCTTTTCTCTACTATCTGCTTTCAAAAGTGTGCTGATTACAGTCAGCAATGTCTCAATAGCAGTGACTAACCACTGGCAGTCTGAAAGTTTCCCATTTGAAACAGAACGAACAATTATTTTCATGGCTTCAACCATGCCTGCTTCATTGGCAAATGGTGAGACCTTCTTAAAGAATCCAAATGCTCTCTGTGCATCTCTTTTTCTGTTCTGTACCATAGCAATGACCAAAGAAGCCATTCCTGCACTATTGTTGTTCTCTGTTTCCTCAAATGCAGTGGTTGCCTTTTGAAAATGACTAACAATTTCCTTTTTGCTTGAATCTATGTGGAGCTCCTCATGCTGAGATTTCTCTTCCATCTCGAAGTACAGCTCCAGTGCTAAGGTGTGATGGCATTTCCCTCGGACATCCACATCAGGTCCTTTTTCAGCATGGTGAAGAGCATCTCTGGTGGCACCATGTCGCAGAAGCATCTGAGCAACGTCAGAATGGGAACTTTGACCTGTAAAACCAAGTACCGGTATTCATAGAGTTCTAAAGAAAAGCGACTTTTTACATCAGTCAAGTGCACCATTTTCAGTGACATAGGCGTCACATTAATCTGATTACTTATTGACCCAGTATCTCAAAGCCTGTGAAAACTGCAAACCCTCCACAGGTAAGAAACCATAATCCAGACATTTCATCCTTCCACATTACTATAAGACCTTGACCATAAACAATACAATTTCTCAGGGTGAAAAAACCAAAAGGCAGCAATAACTGGAAATGAATGATATATTCTCAATCAAAGAAATTTGAAGGTGACCTTTGACTTCTATTAACCAAAAGCTTTTCAAAGCAGACCCCATCCAGGAGCAGAAAAGTGCAATCAGAATCGAAAACTTTCAGGAACTAACAGATAGAAAATGCACTATTTATCAGTTTTACTTGACTTCTAGGCCATCAAGCTAAAACTCATTACACAGTGGCAGACACATTTAGATGAGAAAGTAAGAATATTTATGGATAACAACTTCTTTATTATATATGATGCGACGTTTCGGTATGGATTCTTATACCGTTGTCAAGCAAGAGTGAAGTACTACAGCACAGAACAGGCTTATATACATGAACAGGGATTAAGTAATAACAACATGTAGGACTGAATGAGGGGGATTAACAATAACAACAAGGCACGGTGGCAATAATGTAGTGACAATAGGAAGCCAATGGTGGTGGATGTAAAAAACAAAATATACATGCTGATGAGATTAATTAACAATGATGGCTGCGGTGCTCTAATCTGTTGTTTTTATGAGATCATTGTATGCATAGATGAACCAGCAGAAAACCAAGAATCATAATCACAGAGAATGTGTGATTTAAAGTAACAATCACATCTATCCTTCCATATCCAGAACTCATGCTTTCATCTCTTCAGATTCCAGATTGAAATTACTGGAAAGCTTATCATGTAACTGATGAAATGTAATCTAAATTAACTAATCTCATTCATGCATTCAGCAAACAGTAAATGATATAGAGATGACAATACTTTATGGATGTTCAACTTCTTTATTTTAACAATGGCGACGTTTCGGTATAGATTCTTATACCATTTTCAAGCATAGGATCTATACTGAAACGTCGCTATTGTAAAAAATAAAGAGTTGAATAACAAAGAGGGAGAGGTTATGTTTCTGAATATCTAAATTTGCTTTTTCAATCAGACAGATTTCTTATCAACTACTGTGTAATTTATGAATCATATTTCTTCATTCATTTCTTCACAAATCAATGATGACGTCAATAATGGACAAGACCTTTAGTAATATTTTCACAAAATGATTGCTCATGATTTCCATGAATATGAGTTAAAAAGAGAACGGAAAGTTCTGAAAAGACATTTCTTCAAAAACATTACTCATATCCTGTACACAGGGAACTGACCCTTCAACAAATTTAAATTCATTTTATATTGTGTGACTCCTGCTGAAATCTAGATAAGCTGGGTCACTGTCTTGACACACATATCTTGCCTCGGCAGTTGGAACGAAGGGTACTGCATATGTGTGAATAGGGTTATTACTGATCAGTTACTTGTGAGCAAAATGGGTGTAGTGCTTACATAATGTGAACAGTTTTGCGAAATTTACATGAATATGTACCCGTGAAGATCTGGGTTAGAATTGGTCAGTAACCCATGCTTGTGGTAACAGGCGACTTAACAGTAATGGTCCAGACTTGATTATTTACAGACCGCCGCCATATAGCTGGAATACTGGTGAGTGCGGCGTTACACAACAAACCAAACATCCAACCAACATGAACATGTACCATTCTGAAAAGAAATGATAATAACCTCCTCTCAACATGAGCTGAACAGCTTCCTGGAGGTACTGGTGCTTCTCCAGAAACTCCAGCTGGTCATCATAGGGCAGATGGTCTAACGCTGACAACATCTTGGGCTTGTTCCTGTGTTTATGGTTGAATTTGACTAGTTTGAAGTAGAGGTTCTCAAGAGTAAACTGAGCGCCTGGCTTGTTACTCTCAAGCATCTTCAGCATTTCCCTGTCTGTTCCTCTCATCTCCTACAAATATATATCTTGAGTAAATAGTTATTCTGTTAGCATTTCATAACTGCCCAGAACATCAAGTTATCACAGTAGATCCTGCACAAAATGAGATAATGAGATATTAAAAGTTCTCTTCACATGAAGCACAGTTTTATGAATGGCCTTAGAAAGCTCTATGAAATGTATTTAATCCCAGTATTTAATCATTCAATGACATTACAGATTATGCAAAATGTTCTCATAACACAGACATGACGTTATATTTTAGTGTTACATTACTCTTGTATAGAAATATTTGAAACACTACTTTATCTGAAATAAGTAGCATAGGGAACAGGGGGTTTTGGACCAAGTCCGGACCAAGTCCAGACCAAGTTTGACATTAGCTTCTTTTACCCAGTGAAGCCTTTGTCGGACCCTTATCACTTCCCTCCACGTGGCTATTATAGGCCCCTGGAATGTTGACTTTACCTGTGGAGGGCCTCAAGAAAGATATTGTGTTGTGGGGCATGATCAATACCTCTGGCTTCTTCAGCCACTGTCGACCGCCTCCGTGGTGTAGTGGTTAGAGCGTCCGCCCGGAGAGCGGAAGGTCGCGGGTTCGATCACCGACCGCGTCATACCAAAAGACGTTAAAATATGGTACTTGTTGGTCCCTGCCTGGCGCTCGGCATTAATGGGTACAACAAGGACCGGTCTGCTCGGAGTCAGTATAATGTGTCTGAGTGGGGTATTCATGCTTCACTGCGTCATGGTATCTCAGTGGGCTAGCACTATAAAACCACACGCATGCACGTTGTCATATGAGCGAAATATTCTCAAGCATGACGTAAAACCCAATTTCACCTCACCTCACTTCAGCCACTGTCACTCGGTTATGTTAATCTTAGTGAAATATATACATCTATTTTTTTTTGGTTCAATTTTCTCATGCCCATACGCGTACGTGTTGATCCTGTCGATGCCTATCCAACGCTTCGTGTCCATCGGCGACAGGGACGTCTTGTTTATTGTCAATCCTTATATCCTGTGTCTGTCACTTCTCAGCGTGTTCATCTGATGCCTAAAGGTGCGGGTCATGAACAGGGCCTCCTTGAACCTGGCGTGTCTGATGTGTTGTTTCACCATGTACTTCTTGACCCCCTTCGCCTTCCGGCTTTCAGGATAGAGTACATCTTAGGCCTCAAGCCTATGTATTCGGCGATCGGCGTACCGGCACACTCGTCCTTCATCTTACCGAGGACCTTTTTGTTGACTTGGCTGTGCATGGGGTGGTCCTTGGGGTAGTCGCTTGTGTCGTATAGGTGCATGTGTTATGTAGTAGCGCCCGAGGAGGCAGCACGCTCAAACAGCTCCTGACACTTTTGACAATTTTACCAGTTTATACTACACCTAAATGTACAGAATTTGGCATGGAAGCCTACCTCATCATAGTCAACAATTCAATATGACTTTTATGAAGATTGAAGAACAAGAATCGTGATATTCATTTGGATTTATTTGCTTCAATTATATGTAAACAGTTGACTAACTTCAGTGAGTGCATGTAAGCTGACAGTGACAATAACAATGCCCAGTCACAGAGAACAAAAGACTGGTTTTAACAGCTACCCCACCTCATCGCTTGTCTACTCAAGAGATAAGCTTTGTGAGATTGGGTCCCATTGTCTCAACACAAGTTGTGTAATCAAACCTGGGATTGAAGAATTCAATGTGTTTGTTAATCAGCTGATTACGAGGAAACACAGACACAAGACAAGGAGAGGCAAGCGAGCAGGGAAGTCAATTCACAAAATACCTCAAACTAAATCCGTCACTAATTCAAAAGAAAGTTTCCTGACAGTGTGTGTTTGGAATGCAAGGAGTGCTCGAAATAAATCAAATGATATCTGTGACTTTTTACATGATAGAGATTTAGACATTCTTCATATCACAGAATCTTGGTTAAGGGATAAGGGTGATGACGTCATCAAAGCAGAATTAACACCAACTGGCTATACTTTAATCAACAAACCTAGGCAATCTGATCACATGGGCGGAGGAATCACAGTAGTCTACAAATCACACATAAAGTTAAAAGTTAACCCACAGATGATAAACATTCTGTCTTTAGAATTTCTGGAAACGGTTTTGGAACAGAGCAATAACCTGCATATCATCTGTGTGTACAGACCCCCACCGTCAGCTAAAAATAAACTTTCAGCCTCTAAATTTCAAGATGACTTTGAAAATTTTGTTCAACTTCCGACTAGCAAACTAGGTGAAATTACCATTCTCGGTGACATGAATATCCATTTCGATGACCCATTAAAACCTGACAGAGAAAAAATTGTCACATTCCTGGACACAATTGGACTTGTCCAAATTGTGCCAGCGCCAACCCACAAATGTGGACATATTCTAGACTGGGTAATCGTCAGAGACACAAACAAAGAACTTATTCAAAAAGTGACTGTTGAAGACCTAGAAATGTCAGACCACTTCCCTGTGTTTCTCTCTTTCAACAAGGAAAGACCAACAAGACAGAAAATAACGAAAACATGTCGAAACTTTCGCAATATGGACATTGACAAGCTTAAAACAGATATTGGGAACTCTCCTCTCTACAAGGTGAAACCGAAGACTGCCACAGAACTTGCAGATCTATACAACAGAGTTCTATCAGAGCTTCTAGACAAACACGCCCCTCTTAGAACCAAGAGTATATCTGTGAAACCAAGCTCACCATGGTACACAGACGATATAAAACTGGAAAAAACCAACAGTAGGAAGCTAGAAAAGCAATGACAAAGAACAGGATTGGAAATACACCGCCAGATGTACGTTTCACAGAGGAACAAGGTGAATTGCTCCATCAGACAGGCTAAGACCGAGTACCTTAACACTAAGGTGCTGGATGCAGAGGCCAACTCTAAACAGCTCCATCGACTCGTCTCCAAACTGTGTAACAAATCCAGTGATACCAATCTGCCCGAGGACCAATCTCCTCAAGAAGCCGCTGAGAACTTCGCACAATACTTCAGAGAGAAGATCGAGAGTATTCACAGCAAGCTAGTAACTTCGGCTTCAACGCTAGATGACAGCACATCCACTCCAGATGACCAGTGTGACGAGTCATCTTCAGCTACCTCGGGCTATTTTGATGAAATACAACCTTTCTCAACTGATGAAATCGAAAAGATCATTAAGCTTCTGCCAGACAAGAGTTGTGAGCTCGATCCTATACCAACTCAATTTGTGAAATCATGCCTGGAGGTTTTAGTACTTCCAATAACCAACATCATCAATCTCTCAATATCATCAGGCGAGTTCCCTAAAACCTTTAAACAAGCTCTGGTGAGACCCCTTCTGACGAAAAGTAACCTGGACAATAATACTCTGAACAACTACAGACCTGTATCTAATCTTCCGTTCGTCTCGAAGGTGTTAGAGAAGGCTGTTTGTACCCGCCTCTCTGAACATCTGAAGAAACACAAGCTGCTTGACAAACATCAATCTGCATATCGACCAAACCATTCCACTGAAACAGCACTCATAAAAGTCACCAATGACATTCTAACAGAAGCAGACAAAGGAAATGTATCAGCACTGGTTCTTCTAGATCTTTCGGCAGCCTTCGACACTATTGACCATCACATGTTGTTGTCAAGAATGGAAAGTGACCTGAAAGTCAAGGGTACTGCTCTTTCATGGTTCCAATCTTACCTATCAGATCGATCTCAAGTAGTTAAGATTGAGAGCAAAACATCATGTCCCACAGATCTCAGGAGTGGCGTCCAACAAGGTTCCGTGCTAGGACCAGTGCTTTTCCCTGTGTACACTACACCACTGGGAAGAATAGCAGACAAGCACAAAGTCAACCAACATCAATATGCTGATGACAATCAAATCTATTCTTCATTCCCTACCACAGAAGCCCTGCCATCGTTGGACACACTATCTGATTCTTGCAATGACATTCAGACATGGATGACGAAAAACCTACTGAAACTTAATGAAAGTAAAACAGAATTCCTGCTTATTGGGTCGAAAACAACACTTTCCAAACTTGACAAGCCATCTCTCCAAATAGGGAATACTGCCATAACTCCAACCCCGAAGGTCAAGAATCTAGAGGTTATTCTTGATAAAAATCTGAAAATGGACAAGCAGATCTCCAACATCATTAGCACGACCCATATGCATCTCAGGAACATTGGAAGACTCCGCAAGTGTGCTGATGCTACTTCAAAACTTGTCCTATCTGTGGTTATGTCCCGAGTAGATTACTGCAACAGCCTCCTCAACAACGTCAACAAAAGATCAGCTACGTCGCCTTCAAGCCCTCCAAAACACTGCTGCAAGAATCATTACAAAGTCTAAAGTCTTCGATCACATTACTCCAATTCTAAACGATTTGCACTGGCTACCTATCACCGAAAGAATTGACAACAAAACTTTTGTAATGACGTACAAGTTTCTCAGCCGAATGGCCCCTGACTACCTCGCAGAGTTACTGCCCCTGTATCAGCCCTCATGCTCACTGAGATCACAAAACCAAATGCTAGTGACAGTGCCAAACATCAAAACCAACTTTGGCCAAAGGTCGTTTGCTTTCAATGCAGCAATGAAGTGGAACGCGCTACCGCTTGAACTCAAAACCAGCGAGTCACTAACATCTTTTAAGACTGGCCTCAAAATGATGATGCGCTATATAAATGCAATTATTATTATTATGTGTTTCTTCATATCCTCGTACAAGTCCTCGGTTTGAATCTCCGTCAGCAGGGAGTCTGTGTCCGTGTACAGCACCTCACACCTGTCGCCGTACTGCTTCTTGAGCTCATTGTAGTAGAAGTCGTACATCAGGTGCTTGGAGAGGTCGAGGATGCCCACGTAGACGGGCCGGTTGAATTTGATGTGGCTCTTCCTCATGTCCAGGGCCACAACATTGTCGGTGAATATCTTGCTCCGGTTGTATGCCGGGCTGGCTATCAGTTTCCTGAGCTTATCTTCCTCTTTTGACCGGACTAGCT